AATGGAGCATTAGACGACTTTCCCATGACCTATTTCTGAGAAGATTGATTTCATACTCGAGGAGAGCATCCTGAAGAGCAGGGATTGGAAGTGGACTTCTCACAAAAAAACAGCCCATGATTGCAGAGTAATTTTCTCTGCTAAATTATTAAGCCTTCATAATTACAACTACAGCTGTAATTATATTGCAAAAATTACCTTTAATAAAGATAATAGGCACTTTGAGGTGGATTAGATCAGGAAAATTTAACACACACTACATTTTATCAATTTCCCTCATGTGCCTCTATTCATGAAAAAAAAATTCTCAGGTGCCTTTCATGGAAGGCCACCTTTTTACTTAGGGAATACACATTAAAAGTTATGGTTGCTGGGATAACAAAAACTAAAGTTCATACAGAGAGATTAATTCAATGCTAATTGTGATATTCTGTTTATATATTATGTTCATACAAACACACATGCCTTTGATATCAATGAGACTCAATATGCTAATCTGTTAACTTGAAAAGAGTTAAAATGAAAACAGTACGATAAACATATGCATGCTTCCTGGCATGCAGATTTTTTCGGGTGCTTATTTTGAAGAACCTAAAGATAATTTATACATTTTGGAGAATCAAGCAGAATGAAAATAAGTTAGGAAAGGTGTTCAAGTTCTGTTACTAATGTGCACTCGAGGATTTCATTCAAGTACGTAGAGTAGACATTAAAATTTCAGGTAGTGAGTTCATTCATTCATTCATAATTCAATAAATATTCCCTATGTGCCTTGCAACATTCTATAGATAAAACAAACATGTCTGTCCTTATAAACCTTACATATTGCAAGCAGCAGAATCACCCAAGAGCATATAAGTAAAACCCAAGGAATAATATTGAGTAATAAATAAGAAAGAAAAGGGGGGCTATCAAGCAGTGTAGGCAAGAACACTTGGAAATATGATCGGGGAAGATCATAAAGGTGGTAAAATAGAACAGACATACCATGAGTCCGAAGATACCTGGGGAGGCTAAAACTCATTTCAAGTACAAAATAAGCAACTGAAGTAAATCTAGGTGTCAACCAGAAAGTTTTACTCGCTCCTGTTGGGAAATACTATGGTTTTGGAATGTGTCTGTCAAGGTTCAGCCTCTGGAGAAGTACTCAGAGAAAGAAGTAACTGAACCCATAGCGGGTGGAGCTTCCTTGGGTCGCTAAGGTTTGTGTCTATAGAATGGGTTAGCTGTTCTTGGGCTTTCTCCCTGTTTTCTGTCTCCCAGGCATGAGGTAAGCAGTTTGCTTCACCATAGAGTCTCCAACACTACCATTGCCACACATCACGGGCCCAAAGAAACAGGAACACGAAATCTTGAATAGTAGCCCAAAATAAACCTTTAGTCTTTATAAATTAGTTATCACAGGGTCTGACCGAAGAGATGGCTCAATGCTTGAAAGCATGGCTGTACTTTCAGCAAACTCAGGCTTGATTCCTAAGACCATCAAGGCAGCTCACCATGGTCCTTAGTTCCAGTTCCAGAGGACTGTGTATCCTCTTATTGCCTCAGAATGTACATACGTGCACATATACAGGCACACGCACACACACACACACACACACACACACACACACACACACACACAACATCCATACACTTAACAAATTAAAGATTAAAAATAATAAACCCGTTAGCACAGATAATTGATAGAGGTGAAGAATCAATATCAAATACCAGTACTTTCCCACATTGTTTCCCCCCAGAGTTAAGAACCAATCCCTACCCTGATTCTTGTATTACAACTGAATTTTCATGTTTATGTATTTTGTCAGCACTTGGCATTAAGAGATTTGTTCAATGCTGTTTTCCTTTATTCCAAACAAAGTTTGACAATACAAAGGTGAACATTTACTGAATGGAGGACAGACCTTAAACAGGGCTCTGATCCCGGGACAAACGCCTGAACAAAGGCTTGTTTAAAATAATCAGATGTGCAGATAACATAGCCATTTTGGAAAGTCTCTGAGCTCTCCTTTTAAAACTGTCACTCTTATCACTGAGGCACATTAGCCTAAAGTTTTCAGTTTATTAATTAAATGAGAAACATTAAGCATTTAAATCAAGTTTCACCAATCGAAAATGCCAAGAGAAAAGGAACCAAGGTGGATTAAAATGAGACCATCCCACATGGAAGTAAACTCCCTCAGCCTAGACACATGGGGGAGGGCCTAGGCCCTGTCCTGAATGATATGACAGACTCTGAAGTCTGGGGAGCAGAAAGGGGATGGGCTGGGTTTTGGTGGGGATGAAAGGGGAGGATGGGAGGGTGAGGGAACTGGGATTGACATGTAAAACAAGCTTGTTTCAAATTTAATTTTAAAAAAGGAAAACAATTTTAAAAATAAAAAAAAAATGAGCTCTGGTACAAAGATTGTTCTTTCTGTTTGTTCTCAGTAGCATTGCTCATTAAATCTTTCTCTGTCTTCCTCACTTAATAAAATAGAGAGTGCAGGGAGCTGGAAGCAGATAATCAAAACAAGAGAACAATGGCCTTCTCTTTGGAACAGTTCTTCCCTTAGTACTTGGGAGAAGAGAGCCTGGGGACTCAGAGGCTGACAGCAGCTGTGAGAAATGGCCCTCTTAAGTACTTTCATGTCCCACTACACTGAAACTAGCATAGGAGTCAGAAGAGTCTCAGTCCAGATTCAGCAGGTGGAAATAAGATGAGTTTGCAGAAATATTCTGGGAAAAACATGTGCAGGTGATGATCTCAGAAAGTTACGTAATGTAAAGAGAAAGCAACAGAAAAAGATGCCTCGCTTACTGTCTACAATTTCCTTAAAGGTTTTTATTTGACTCCAATGTTTGTGTATGCGCCAAATTCAATATGCTAACAGAGATAATAGTTTTATAGTGTGCGAATAAACATCGTATTCTGTACAATCTGACATCAATTAAAATGTGCAATTATCTTAAGCTTTCAAATTTGCAAAATGAGAGTGTTGCATTGTGCCAAAATAACAGGAGCAGTTTTTCAACCACAGATAAAGCCTCTTCCAAAATGTGAAAAGGGAAACCTATAACAAAAAGTGCAGTAATACATAGACAAAGTGAGTGAGACAAAGGAATGAAAAATTTCAAAGAGCTCCAAATGCACAAATGGTGATGGGTTGGATGGTAGCATGTTCACAGCGATGGCTCCACACACAAAATGTTTGTATCACAGGAGTGACGATCAGAGTTCATGTCCCCAGCAACCACTTAAAAGCTACGTATGAAGCTGATCCTACATTCCAAACAGCTGGACAAAACAGCCCTACAGACTACAGGTAGGTTATCTGAATCTTCTTCGAATCCCCCAAGACAGCGCCCCTTACCAGCAGGAAGTAGTTTGGAAAGAACGACGCCCAAATTCCCAAATATTGTGTATAAATGTTTGTTTTCATTTAATTGGACTTTGTTATATAAAATTAAATAAAAAATACTCTATATGCAAAAAAAAAAAAAAAAAGCTACGTATGTTGGCACATGTCATGTGTGTGACCTATCAGCGGGAGAAAAGAGGTAAGCAGATCCCACGAGTTCAATGACCATCAAATCTAGCCAAAACAGTGATCTTCAGAGCCAGCAGGAGACCCCATTTCAAAAAAATAAGGTGGAGAAAATAGAGGAAGAGACCAAAATCAACTTTAGGCTTCTACCCATGCATGTGACCTGCAAACCTGTATGCATGCATGCACATGCACATACCACATACAAGAAGGGATAGGTGAGAAGGAAGAAGAGACGTTGTATAAATGGTTAAGAATATTAATAGATAAAAATTGGAGATGGTGTTGTGGTTGAATCTGAAAATGGCTTGAATGCCACAAGAGTCTGGATTTTTACAACAGTATTTTTAAACTACATTTTAATTAAAATATAATTACGTTACTTCTTCCCTTGCCATTTTTCCCTCAGCCACTCCAAATAAACCAGCTAAAGAGGAAACCCATGGTGAGAACCTTTGCCAACGTATACATGTAATAGTAGATTGATATTCAAGATACACAAAGAACTAAAACACAAAGAGCCAAGAAAACAAATGATCCAATTAAAAATAGGCTACCAAACTCAACAGAGAGGTCTCAGAAGAAGACATAAAAGTAGCTACGAAATAAATTTAAAAATGTTCAACATCCACGCCTTTATTCCCAGCACCCGGGAGGCAGAGGCAGGCAGATGTCTGTTAGTTTGAGACCAGCCTGGCCTACAAGAGCTAGTTCCAAAACAACATCAAAAAAAAAAAAGTGTTCATCTTCAGAAATAAGAGAAATGAAAATGATGAAAACTACCTTGAAATGTTAAGGAAAATGGGAAAGAAAAAAATAGCAAATGATGTGACAAATCTTGAAGATCTACCATGGAAGGCCTCACTCTCCCTGAAGAACAGAAAGAAGATGAGATGGGGAGTTGATCAGGGGCAGGGGAGGAAGGGAAGGACAGGGAACTGGGATTGACATGTAAAAAAAAAGATTGTTTGAATATAATTAAAAAAAATTCACCAAGAAAATATAAATTTAAAAGCCTCCTGAATGGTAAACTGAAGACAAATACTCCTATGATTATACAATAGCCCTGGACATTATTTTTCTTTTCACTAATTCATTCATTACTGACATAGTCAATATAGTAAATATAAAATAAATGAAGTCTTATATGTGCATTTAAAAAAAAAAATAAGAGAAGTCTCCTTTAGTTCTAGGGGTGGCTGTGAGGGTGTTGATCTAAGGCCAGAAGAGCATTTAAAACTGAACATTTGTTTGCCTCTCTCCAAGTAAAATGAGTACATTTCAGCATTATCAAATATGAAGGCATTAAGAAAAATCTAAATTGGCTTACATGTAAATCAGTGTTCACTTATAAAAAAAAATCATTAGTACATATCATTGTATTTAAAACAGCTCCGTAAGGAGAACATATGTTAGCTACACATAACTTCTATATAATAACCAATATCCAGAGAATGTTCGTGATCTTACCTGCTCCAAGACTTCCCTGTAGGTGATAGTCGCTTTAGTGTTTGTAACAGGACTGTCATAGATGATAGCAATCTTATCCCCTTGACCATTTTCAATGTGCCGGTCAATAGCGTTGTAACAGATATTAAGCATCCCTTCCACAAACCTGAAACACATTGGAAAGAAAAATAAATTACTCTTCGCATGATATAGTTTTGTTTAAGCACTTTGTTCCATATCTAGTTGCCCCAGATGCCCTCAGGACAGTGTTTTCCGCAGCATTTCGAGATGGGAAATAATGGTAGTGAAGCGCATATTTAAAATGCCACCTAGAGAACATTATTTTTACTTTACTAAATATGGATTTATATTCATGCATAACAGGAAAAATACACTTGGAACTTTCAATTGACATCTTTGTGGATATTGCTGGTTAGGGTGAGAGGGGAATCTACAGTACCTGGGTAATATATTTCTAGAGACAAAGTGAATCTTATGTTGTAAGTGTGGTGCAGAAACATCAGAGATTATGAAAAGGGAAATGGTAGATATATGGCAGACATTCTGCTAGCTGTTACAAATAGACAAACACTAAAAGAGTCAGTTCTTTGAAACATATTGTCATAGTTTGCTAGAGCTGTCAACTTGACACAGTTGGAAAGAGAAAAACTGCATTGAAGGATTGTTTACATGTCTTTAGGGACATTTATTAATTGTTAATTAACAGTCCACTGTGGACAGCACCATCCTTGGGCAAGGGGAAACAAGCTAATAAGTAGAATTCTTCCACAGACTCTGCTACAGTTCTTAGCTGCAAGTTCCTGTCATGTGTCTCTACTTAAAGGTCTGTAACCAATATCAAATGAAACTTTTCCAGAGGCCACACTGGCCAGTGAGGCACGTAGGTGATCTCTGAATTTTCAGTCATCTTCAAATCCTCCAAATCCAATCCCCCACTTTCATCCCCAACTCTGTAACTAGGTGTGGCTTCTTCTTGCTCTCCACCCCCATTTACAGGGGTGTAAGCAGACCTGCTTTCTTCCCTTCTATGGACCCTCTCAGAAACCCCCTTCTAGCCCATCTCCATCCTTAAGTGTCAGCACCCAACTCGAAGAAACACTATAACCAAAACGCCCAGTGACCACACCTGCCAGGATCTTAGAAGCATGCTCTACCAGGCAATCCAAAGCCATGACAGTCTCCTAAAATCCAGAGAGGGCAACAGAACCAAGAAATGTAATACTAACCCAACAAAAACAAGACCAGATATCAGCATCTAGTAGAAACCCAGATGCCTAGAAGCCAGCATAAAACATAACAGCTAGGAGAGACAAAATGTCCCCACTACAGAACCCTACTACAGTAGGCCATGAGAAATATAATGTAGATGAAGTACAAGACAAGGACTTCAAAATAGCCTTTAAGAATATGTTAAAGGAACTTAGAGAGAAAATAGATTAATTCCTTAAAGAAATCTGTAAAAACACAACAAAAAGCAGAATGAGATGAAACAGTTCAAGACTTAACAAGTGAAAATAAAATCAATAAAGAAAACTAAAACTGCAGGAAAACTAGAAATGAAAAAAAAAAACAAAAACAAACAAAAAAGTAGGAATTCACCTTAGAGTAAAAATATAGAAAAGATATTCCAAGAAAATGAAGCTAAGAAGCAAGCAAATGTAGCCATTTTAATATCTGACAAAATAGGATTCAACCCAAACTAATCAGGAGAAATAGATAAGGACACTATATACTCACCTAAGGAAAAATCTACTAGCATGGCATTGCACCAAACACAAGGGCACTCCAGTTCATAAGAGAAACACTACTACAGCTTAAATCACATATTAACTCACACACACTGATAGTGGGAGATTTCAATACTCCACTCTTGCCAATAACACAGGTCATCCAGAGAAACACTAGGCAGAGAAATACTGCACCTAACATGCATCATAAGCCAACTGGACCAAACCGGTAGTTATAGAACAGTTCACCCAAACATCAAAGAATATCCCTTCTTCTCTCCCAAAATTAACCATATAATCACACACACACATACACACACACACACACACACACACACACACACACACACACACACACAAAGTCTCAACAGACATCAAAAAGTCAAAATGACACCCACATCCTATCTGACCACCATGAACTAAGCTGGATGTCAACAATAGAAAACTTACAAAATTCTTAAAAACTTAACAACTTACTACTGAATGAAAAAATGGGGCAAAATGTGTTAAAGGATGTAAAGACTTTGCATAAATGAATGGAAACAGATACAAGGCACACCCAAACTTATGAGATACAATAAAAGTGATTCTAGGAGGAAAGTCTGCAAAAGCCTGGAAAAGGCAGAAATAAAACTTATCCTGCATCACGGACAAGGCAGACGGATTAGAGATGTAGCTTCATTGGCAGAGAGGTTGTCTAACAATTAAATGGCCCTTGGTTAGATCCCCAGGACTGCATGGTGACACGTTCATGCCATTCTAGCACTCTGGAGGTGGAGACAGGAGGATTAGAAGGTTGAGTTCATCCTTGGCTGCATACCACTCTGAGCTACATGAAATCCTCCTGTCTTATAAACATAAGTAAAGTGGGAAAAGAGAACAAACTCCTGGAAGTTGCCATCTGACTCCTACATGTGTGCTCTCACATGTACTAACTTGCACACACACATACACACATACATACATACACACTAATACTAAAAATTGTGAAAGTCTCTATGACGGAGACACCATCACAATTCATCACATTTTATATACAAACAAAACTGAGCCCTTCACCGTTATATGGCTTTTACAATAATGTTCACAGAATTTTAGTTTTTGTCATTGTTCACAACTTGCGAATAGATTGAGGTTTACATTATTAGCACACTCTACAGTTTTCCCTTTTAAGAATATGCTTAAAGAAATTTAGGAGAGAATAATGCCCTTGAGGGCAGTTAGGAAGGAGATCCAAAGATGGAGAAGGACGCACTAGCAATGCTCGGTATAACTGTGTTGCAGGAGTGAGCAAAGCGCCATGGCTCTTAGGAGTTAGAGCTAGCGAATCCAGCAACACAAACTGGCCTAACACACAGATGGATATACTGGGGACGACAGGATCAAGGGAACAGAGAGGACCACTGAGCTCAAAGATTCGATTATTCTACTGTGACAAGATGCTTACTTCTCTTTAAATCAAATCATGCCGGTAAAGGTCAATTGAAAATTTACTTGCCGTCTGTCTCCCGCCACTTCTAAGTCCCTGGGTAGATTTTTAATGAGAGTCTCTGCAGATTATAAAAATAACTTATGTTCCAAAACTTTGATTGCCTTTCAAAGTGTAAATATGGCACATTGTACATATGAGTTATTACTTTGACTCTGTATTTAGCATTGTACCTTGAGTTTCCCCAGAGGTTTGACATTTCCTGTTGGGTGGGTGGTGGCAATGGGACCAGTACTTACTCTCTTTGCATGAACTGGCCTTTTGGAGCCCATTCCCTATGGTGGGATACCTGCTTCAGCCTTGATACACCAGGAAGGAGCTTGGTCCTGCCTCAACTTTGCATGCCAGACCTTGTTGACTCCCCAGGGAAGTTTTACCCTTCTGAGGAGTGGATGGAAGATAAGAAGGGGGAGGATGGGAGGCAGGCAAAGGGGAGGAAGGGAGAATCGATCGGGGTTGGTATGTAATATGAAAAAATATTTAATAAAAAGGAGAAAGAAAGAGCATGTTGAGTGATGACATAATATTCTATTCAATCACTATCTATTCCATGATAAAGCTAAAACTTGTGGCTGAAAATTGCCTTTAATGAAATTATTATTACTGAAAACTATCTTTGGATGGAGTATACTGGAGAGAAATATTAGCCATATTGTTTATTTCAAATTATAGTTTCTGGTTGTAGTCCTACAGTTTAGCATATGTATACACACATTAAAGTCAGATAATCAGATTGCTTTCTGGAAATGTCGAATTGGTTTACACCACCATCAGTATTACCTGCATGATTGCTTCATCAAATTCCTACATATACAGCTTATGCTCAATTTCTATCAATACAAAAATTTAAAGATAACTTTAATTATTTTCATGGTTACCAGCCTGAACTACATCAACATAGAGATTTTTGAACGCACTTTCTATAGAATACTGAGCTTACATTTGACATCGCTCCATATTTTTTAGCATATTCATTTGTTTTAACTTGTGTCTAACCCAAAAGTGTTTTAAAATTGCATATAGTAAACAATTTCATCACTTCTTCTGTGGCTTTTCCCTAAGATAATTCATACACTATGCTTCTTATTTTATACAGTATATAAATCCAAATGCCCTTCTGTTTATTCATATGGAAAAGACTCAACTTGTACATAATACCCATTATATGTTACATGCCACCTATGAATTATATTTACGGTATACATGTATGTACACACACATATGTGTGGAAACAATTGTTTTACATGTTGATAGGTAGTTTTCTAAGTATCCTCCTATAAGAAGTAAGGTTTTTCCTCCCATTGCCTGGTCTTGTCCTGCTGCCGCGCCATCCCCAAATAATACACAGAGACTCTGTATTTGATACAATCTTTTGGCCAGGTGCTAGTTTCTTATCGGCTAGCTCTGTCTTAATTATTAACCCATTTCTATGTATTTCCACATTGGCTTACCAAGAGTGGAGGAATGGCGGTTCTGTTCTCTCCAGTCTCTCCATCCTGACTCCTCCTTACTACTTCCTCTTTCCTCCTTGTCTCCTAGTCCCTCCTATCTTGCTTTCCTATTGGCCAACAGTGCTTTATTCATTAACCAGTATGAGAAACATATACAGAATGACATCTCTAATCATCCTCCCCCCCCTTTTTTTTTGAGACAAGGTTTCTCTGGAACTCGCTCTGTAGACCAGGCTGGCCTTGAACTCACAGAGATCTGCCTACCTCTGTCTCCGGAGTGCTGAGATTAAAGACGTGTGCCACCAAAGCCCAAAAAGCCCAGGCAACATTTTATAAATAATTCTTAAGCTCTTTATTCAGTCTTGGCCCTCTTTTCTTCCCAAGCATTAGCACCATAAAAACACCAAAGTCTTTTTAGCAATATAAAATTTTCAAACCAGCTACTACTAGAATGTTCTGTCAGTAGAGATTTAGGAAT